CTCTCTCTCTCTCTCTCTCTCTCTCTCTCTCTCTCTCTCTCCGTTCCTTACTCCCTCCCTCCTTACTTCTCTCTTAATTTCACTTACTCACTCATTGACATAGCCTATCTATGTTCAAAAGGGACAGGAACTTCTCACTGATCTGGTGAAAAGATTGCTTGTTTTTCTTCCAAGATTCACAGCGTGGCAGATATATCTAGCAACAAAAAGTATCCCAGACTCATAGCAGGGCCAGCTGGGAGATGTCTCTCACACTTGATAAGATCTTCTGTCTCAAGATTCATTTTTCACCAAAAAGTTATTTTTTAACAAGCAGAGTCAAGTTCCTAGTCCAAGCTAAATTCCGTTATATTAGAAAGGACAGCAAAGCCGCCGAGATTAGAATTCATGGGTAAGCACCAAATCTATATATCTATACACCTATTTCTTTTGCAGAAGATGATTATGACAAGATATGTGATTCTGTCATTCCTAGCTTGTGATCTAGGAAGTAAAGTGGATGATCAGCATGTGGGATATGTGGCTGCTAAAAACTGCTTTGCACTGATAGAGATTTATGGGCACAGCTCATTTCCAGACTGATTGATGATGCTGAGGCAGCAGGAAATATGCAAACTGCAGCAGGAAGGAGTCCTCTGCAATTAACGGGAGCAGCATCATTAGTGTGATTGCTGCAAGACTCAGGAACCGGTTGGTTGGAGGTCTCCCAGTCAAAGATTTTCCTTTCCTCTTTCAACTTCTTACATGTGCTGCAACGTGTTACCTGTAGTGGCAGGAACAGACAAAGGCTTTGGAGAATAACTTATACAGGAGATAAAGCTAATGCTAAATTGAGCATATTACTCTACCAAAAGGAAAGATCTTAAGCTACTGGGTTTGGGAAAACTGTCTGGCTTAGCTAACTATAAAGAATATAGCTGTCTAGTGGTGGTGCATGCCTTTAATCCCAGCACTCAGTAGGAAAAGGTGGGCAGATCTCTACGAGTTTGAGGCCAATTTGGTCTACAGAGAAAGTTCCAGGACTGCCAGGGCTACACAGAGAAATCCTGTATTGAAACAAAACAAAACAATCTGATATTCATATGGCTTAGTGGTAGAAAGAAAGGCAACTTAACTCTCATGTTCAGGGTCCTATTTTGCTGCTGTATGAGTAATTTTACTAATGGCTGTTGCTTTACTTATTTGTAAGGTGAGTTTGGTCTGGTTTCTCCTGAGAGATGATGGCATACAAGTATAGTGGTTGTTATCAGACTAAATTCTACCGCCTGAAGCCTGGCTTCAAATCCCAACTCTGATATTTATTCATTTTATGATCTGGGCAAGTTACATAAGGTTTGTGCCTCAGTTTCTCCATCTGCAAATACAAAGATAATAATGGTGCCATTGTCCCCCAAGGATGTTGCAACCATTGTGTGAGATAATGTAAATAAAGGGCTTAGTATATAGTCAACCATTTATAATGTGAGCAGAATTTTCAAGGTCCATTGCTAGAGGTCAGTTGTTCTAATTGATTTAATTATAGGAAGACAAGAAAAATTGCTATAGGTTAGCCCTATCCTTGAGACATTTCTAATCCATGCAGGTTGTTTCTAAATTCTACAGCCTGTGCTCCATGCAGGCTATTTTGCCTCCAGGATTTGAGCAAAGTTTTTAAAACTAAGAATTGAATCTATGGGTACTGGAAAAGTTCATGGCTCAGTTGGAGAGATTCAGAAGTGAAAAATGGCCTTTCAGTCTGACATCTTTTTTTAAGGACATTGAATATGTGGAAAGTGTCCCCTATGTGCTAACCATTAGCATGGCTTTTCCTGCAAGAAAATACACATATGACATTTATTTTCCCAGATGGTGTTAGCACAGTGCCAGGTTTGACAATGTTCATTTCTTTCTTTGGGGTTTATCAATAATCCACATATATACTAGCCATTTTCACATGACCATTTCTTTTAACTTTTTTTCACATTTTTATTTATGTATGTGTGCACACACATGCTCTTGTACATGGCATGGCATGACCATAGAGGTACAAGAACATGCAGCTGGGATTGGTTCTTCAGGCTTGGCAGCTAGTGCCTTTTCTGACTGAGCTATCTCACCAGCTGGTTGTCCTAGAAAACCATTTGTATTTCACCATTTGTATTTCACAGCATCTCAGTTATTGCCACTTGTATGATTCCTTTATCTTTGGAATACATTCCAAACAAGTACAATCTTGGAGTCAGAAAACGTTGCTTCAAATGGCTAATTCTAATTGTAAATAAATGTGCCTTAATACTTCTAAACTGGTGCAGTGGTCAGCAAATGTTTTCTGGAAGGGCTGGATAATAAAATCATTCAACTCTGTGGGCCTGGCAGTGTCTTTTGCAAGCTGTTCTGTAACGTGAGAGTCTTTAGCCCAGTCTCACGTTACACTGTTCAGCTCTACCATTGAAGGGTAGACACTGCCATATGCTGTACCAGAGTGAGTGAGTGAGTGAGTGAGTGAGTGAGTGAGTGAGTGAGTGAGTGAGTGAGTGTAGCTGTGTTCCAATAAAACATCAAGATTGGACTCATGGACAGTAGTTTGCTGATTCCTGGCTAGTCAACTTATTACAAGCAAAATACTTACAATTCCCATTTTACAGATAAAGAAGGTGAAGGATGGCTTATGTAAGTAGCTTGCCACATGTCTGGCAAACAGTGGAACTGGTGCCCAAATCCAGAAAGGTACTGCTTTTAGCAACTACTCCATGTCAACCAATGTGATGCTTGGTTCCTGAATTTTGCCTGGTTGATTTCATCATTTCCAGAAGGGCCTACTCAAATACAGTGTTCCTAGTCAAGATGCCCAGAAGGCACCAACAGTAATACTACTTCCTCTGCCCTGCCCTACCTGCTTCTTGAATGCTTATCATCTTGTAACTTCCTGTGAGTTACTCAGTCATTGTGTGTGTTTATCTGCTTTCTCTTTTGTTCACTAATGAGTCTTAAGTACCTTGAGGGTTCTGGCCTATAGAATTTCCCTATCTTGTGCTTGCTGAACCAACAAGATAGGCTTTTGCATGTTTGGACTTGGACACTTCTCAAGTAACAGTAATATATGAAGGCAAAAGTTCAAAGTAAGCTACCGTTCTTAGGAACTGCTTCTACTATCTGAAATCCCTGCTCAAAATAAAATAAAACATCTTTTTTTTTAAAAAAAAAAAGGTCCAGATTCAATGTGTTTTTCAAAGTGGGTGACAGAGCAGACACATTAAATGCCCATAAAGAAAAGTGTGTTGAGTAACTAAAGAGTCAAGAGAGAACAATTGGAAAATGGTTTCCTGTTGAGTACATAAAAGCACAGACTCTTTGGTGAGTCCAGCTAAGGGTGTAACAACCATACAAATGCTCTCAGCTTTCCCCAGGTGCTCACAAAGAAGGAAGTTTCCTGTCATTGCCACGTGTTTATTTTGGAGTTATAAAGATCAAGGCGGACCTTTTCAGAAGTGCTTGATTGTGGGGCTTGTTATTTCAACTTAGGCTATGCTTCAGTGGTGCATTTTGATGAGCTGGGAAGAGTGCCTGTACTAATTATTATTACACAACACTGGCCACCTTAGGAAACAATGGAAAAAGATTCACTTGTGACTTACATGATCTAAATGACAGACATTCTTTCACTCCTAAGCTTATCTTGTGCTTCTTGCCTTCAACTGGCAACTAGAAAAGATATCCACTCCAACAAGTAGTGGAACTACCTATTCAGAAATGCAGCACACGTTTCTTTAAGAGTTTTCCATATCACTAAAATTGCCAGGATTTGGATGGAGATGTAAATTTAGAGTGATGATTAATATTAATTATAACTTAAATTACCACTTATTCACAGCCTGTCAGAAGCTAATAAGCCCCCCACAAGAAATTCATTTGCATTGTCTTGTGTGATCCACACATGCCTGAGAGTTAATTCTTCCTCTTTCTCTTGTACTGTTGAGAAAACTGAGGCTCAATGGTGTTCAGAGTCTTGTCAAAAAGTTCTCATGTGGTTGGCGCCAGAACTTGGTATCTTAAATTTTGAAGCCTGCCTTAAAGCAGAACTTGCATGTTTTCGAGCTGACAAATGAGTGCTGGAAATTGAAGCAGGGTCCTCTGAATGAGCAACCAGTGCTTTTAACCACTGAAAGGCACCACTCAGCCATCTCTCCAGCCCTGAACTTGCATGTTCGATAGCGATAATCTGTCCACCATGATTCTGACATACTGGGTCCACAGAAAAATCTTTTGAGCAAGCCAAGCCTTCATCAATCCTTTCCTGGCCCTCTTGGTTTGGGCAATTTATTCTTGTGTGTGGTTAAAGAGATACTCCAATTAGAGTCCAGCCCCAAACACATAACAAAACAGTGTGGTGTAGGCTCAAACCAAAATTATTTCAATCAATTTTATTTCATGGAAAAATCAAGTCTGTTTTTAAAGACACACAGACCAGTTCAAAAGAATAACCTTTCTGAATACAACATAGATATTGGATTTTGTCTTTGCTTTTTTATTCTTTTTCCTAAATGTGGATACATACACTTCTGGTGAGAAAGGTATCTCTCTAGTTAATACTGTTGGTAGGTTGCCCTCCAGTTAATCAAAATTCTGTTTCATTGAGACTTCTGTTTGCTTTTTATAAATTGGTTTGTATCATTTGCATTTCTCGAGGCTGGTTCAAAATAGGTCTTACGATTTCTTTTGCTTATATGCATAATATACATAATCCTACATAATATGCATAAAATATATAGTTCATGCCTCTAATGATAAAGAAAATGTATAAATGATTGTTAAGATTTCCTGACACCATCATTTCAAGAGGATTCTCTGTAATTTGAGCTTAACAGCAGACCTAATGTATACTCTGTCAGGGTTGCTCACCCTTGGAACTATTAGTATTTTGAATCAGATAGACATTTACTGTGGTAAAATGTTTCCTGCTTTATGAGATAATTTGTAGTGTCTGCGGCCTCACACCTCCACGTATCAGACACATGCATGCACGCATGCTTACAGACACACAGGCACACATGCACGCACACATGTGTGTATACACACACACACACACACACACACACACACACACACACACACTCACATACACATACACACTTACTTCCCTTCCCTTCAGTTGGGAAAGTCAAAATGTCTCCAGCCATTGTTGAAAGGCAACTTAGCCTACATGCAGATCTCTGTACTGAATCTTTTTTTTATTTTATCATTTATGCCATCATATACTACTCTGACATTGGGTCAATTTGGTTGTACCTACATTTATAAACGTGAATAAAATTTAAAATATCTGTATCAATCCTTTTAAAGTGTGATATAATGATAAATCAAAACACTGGGTTCAGGGGAGAAGGTCAAAAGTGGGTTCCAATAGCCTTACTATGAATGAATCATACATTTGTGAGTTAAACAGTCACTAAGAAAAAATGCTGACCTGGAACACACATTTGAGAATTGAGAAGCTTCCAAAACACAGTCTAAGCTGTGCTGGTGGGCTTTGGTACTTGTTCTGGGAATGATTTTGTAATTTTGTACTGTCACTGACTTTTGTGTTTCCGTCTGTCTCATTTTTCCACGAGATCTGCTGAGTAGGCTTGGGTACCATAGATTAAGTCTTCCCTAGATCACATGTAATCAGATTATTTATACTTGCATACTAACAACTCTGTTAGGCTTATTACAATAACTTTTCAAGTTTGAATCAAAATGCTTAGTTTGACATTCTCTCTCTCCCTCCTTCCTTCTCTTCTACCTCCCCCCCTCCACCCCCCCCGTGTGTTTCGCTTTTCTGGAATATCTACATAGTCTAAGATGTTCTTAATCTCAAATTCCTATAGGCTCTGTGTCCCCAGTACTGAGCTCATATGTATGCACCACCATTGCCTGCTCCCCAGCATCTCTGCATTTCCTTTCTCTTCATCTCTGACTTGTTCTCTCCTTGATTTCTTTAAGAAATTTCTTAGCACCCTCCTTTCCTTTGCAGATCTGATTGTGTTCCTCTTTTAGTCAGAGTTCCTGACTATTACCTATTGAGAAAAAAATGAATCTACTTTGTGTTGCTTACACAGAAGACTTGTGAGAATTTTCTTAGGACCTGTCTTCTGCTTGCCCTTACCCACTGCTACTTCCATCTTTGAAGATGTCTGGAATATGCTGGTGTCCTTAAATTCATTACCTTGGCAGCTAGGGTTCCCTTCAAATTTAAGTTTCTGCTGGGAAAAAAACCCTTATCCCTCTTAGTCAACTTTCAAGTCTCCATCAAAACATCCTCTTATCTACAAATCCTTCTTTGATCTACAGACAGAGGGTGAAGCTCTGCCTTCTAGGCACCCATTGTATTTGATGTGATGCTTATTTCTAACATCACAGTCTGTTGTTTTAGACTGTGTTCTTCCTACATGAAAGTTAACTGTTTGATGAAAAGGCTGCACAATAAATTAACTACAGTGCTTACCATGTAATATGTACTCATTGTTTGAATTTACCAGGAGGATAGAGTAAATAAAAACAAAATATTATGATAGGAATCTGTTAATTTCATTTTGAACTAGAGTTCTGAGATTGTATGTAGTTTACCAGCCAAATGTAGCCTGCATATCTGATTTTGTAAATGAAGTTGTATGGAAATATGCCACAATACATTCTTTTATAAATTATCTATGGCTACTTGAAAGCCTCATAGGCAGTTAAGTTGTTGAGGCATGATCAAGATGGCCTACAAAACATGAAATATTTACTGTCTGACCCTTGACAGAGGTTGCCAATTCCAGCTAACAGGTAATTGAGTCTTCTACAGGTCACATATTTAAATAATTTTTAAAAATGGTATGTAGTTTCATTTTTGACACTTAGATAAAAATCAGCTTCCTTAGATATCTAAACTTCATATATAAAAGACAGAAATGTAGGCTAGTAAGATGGCTCACTGGGCAAATATACTTAATAATGATCTTAGGGACATGAGTTCAATATAATGGAACCCCAGAATTGAAGGAAATAACTGATTGTCATAAGTTGACCTCTGACCTCCCCATATATTCTTTGACATGCCTGTGCCTACACACACACACACACACACACATACACACACACACACACACAC